TTATTAAAAAATCAAACACCATTTGTGTTCCAAAAGGTTCTTCAATTGTAGTCTCCAGAACCTGTGGAAAAATTTTTTTGAACTTTATTTTTCCTTTCAATTTAGGAAGAAAACTAAGGTAGATAAAAATATTAGGTATCTTTTGCGTGCTAGAAAATTAGCAGCCCTCCTCACATCACAGATCATTCAGCCAAGCTGCTTTAAGGTGGTCCCTTCATGTCTGTTCTGTAACTACACCTAAATACACACAGATAAGTTCCAGCAGCTGTTACCAGCTTTGGGTTTGAGGAGATTTTAATTATATTAGGATGAAACTTGGTTCTGTTTTTCCAGGTTTTCAGAAGAGGCAATGTAGCTAAAGTTGGAAAGTGCATAAAATACATCAAGATAACATTGGCATTAACATCCTGCTGCCAGTGGAACTGACTTTGCTATATATTGCAAAGTAAATACATCTCTGTGGGACAGATCTTTCCAGTTTTCAAACCACAATTTATCTAGCCTGTAGTCTTAATTCTGATTTGCACAATACTCACAGAAACTCTGACTGAATTCCAGGCTTCATGTTAAATTGGTGAGACTACTGCTTAGGAAACATTCTGCTAAAGGATGGGCAAATTTAATTAAGGCATCACCAAGAAACACTAAATCATATTACCCCACTCGTTTTTCCAAGGCAATGGCACTTCTGGTATGGAAATACAGAATGCTCAAACGATTAACAGTCTGGATATTCAAAATGCTAAAGTAATTCCCATTTTTATCATATTCAATGTCTTTATATTCCTATCAACTTCTAAGGAGCCAAGACTTCACCTGTTTTTATATTTACAGATGTGTTTTCAAAACAGAAACAGAAAAAGATGTTAAGGGAAAGGAGCCTGAGGGCAAACTAACTTCTCACATTTTCCTTATCATCTTCCTACAATCACTCTCTCTCAAAAGTCTCACCTTATTTTTTTTTCTAGAATGACTTTTAAGAAATTTCTAAAAAAAAAATCAAAACAAACCAACAAACAAGCAAGAATACCAGTGAATAGTTGTTTGTTTTGGGTTTTTAAAAAATATTGTTTGATCAATATTGACAGCTGTCCTCATTTTCTTTCCCATGACGGTTTTTTGTTTCTACCTCTCCCTTGCCCTCCACAGCTTACAGGTTATTCTTTTCCTCCATGTCACCTGATAATCTCTGTTCTGCTTTCACTCTTTCTCCCTTTGATCTTCTTATTCCTGTCCTCTCTGACCTATCTTACAAACAAACTCCTATTTAATCTCCTTAGAACATCCAAAACTTGTTCTCCCCAGCTTGTCTTGTTTGTCATCAACTTTCAAATTGTAGAGTTGAATGTTAACAGACAGCTGCCTTCTGGTGATAGAACTGAATTGCTGCAATGACTCATAATTAATCTAGATATCCACAGGTTTAAATAGCTCACTTAATCTCATGAGCCTTTTGGTAGCCCAGGCAGTGCACTCAGATGTCAAACTGCAACATCTTTGCAGGCAGGCAACCAAAATCAGGGAGCCCTGACCCAGATGAATCCTGAAAACTAGGACAGCTCTAATTTAAGTGAGCTAAATCCACACGCAAGTGTCTAAAACACATTTCATTCATATTTTGGGCCTAGGAGTATTTGAAATTGTGTTGAAGTATACTACTTCATCTCATGGCAGTCCCTAAAACAGGATCATTTGGCTTTTAATACCAAAACTCAGAATGGCCCATGGTCGAACACACCATGCTCAGCTTCAGATTAGCACTGCTGATAAGGAGGGGAAGGGAGAGAAGGAATAAGTCAACAAATACATGACAGTTCCCACATAGATTTAAACCAGAATATAACTAAAGTAAGGACTAGATCTCTCTCCAATATTGCTGAGTTGTTCTTCAAGCTGTATTGAATTTGGGAACTAAAAGACAAATAGAAGCTCAATTTTGTTGGTTCTCCAGTGAAACACCTTTGTTTAGGATTTTGAACATTAGCAACCCTTTAGGTACTGTGAACTGTTACAATTGCTCAATAGACTGAAAACATAGGAAAAATCTCCATTACCACAAGTTGGTCATCACATTTGTAAGATGTGTCTCATAAATTTGTCTTACCCGTGTCTTATGTCTTTGGGTTTATGACATCAGCTTTCTTCTTCTGGGAGCATTGTCTAGGATGCACATAATTGCAAACCAGCTATTCTTCTAGCTATAGGATGATTTTTAAGGAATGCAGAAATACATCTACCTGTATCATGAGTTCACAGGAAGGGACAAAAAGTTACCAAAGGATATACTATAATAGGAAAATACAGTAACACTTGGACATTTATTATTACAAGTTTGTTCTTGGACATGTTTAACTGTTATGAATACAAAACTCACTTTAAGATAGAAATATCTTTGAGAAATCACAAAAATAAAGAGCCTTAAAAAATTTTATGAAGCACTGTATTTCATTCTACAAAGAAGATTATATAGACAACTAGAAGAAGAAAATATTAAAAAACCCAAAGCAGAATAAGTATTTTAAATCAGATAGACTAATCAGTTTTTACACATTCAAAGATTTCGGGCTTTTAAGAAAAAAAAATTTACTCTTCTGAAAATATCAATTTTTTTATTCTAGATTTATAAATCAAACATGGAAAGAGCTATTTAATAGTAGTATTCTGCCACAGAAAATAAAAATAGAAAAAACCCTGTGCAGTACTCACAAGGATTATAATTTTGGATCCTCAGTGTGCATGCTCTGTCATCATACTTCAAAATAAAATATCAACAATCAAATCTGTAGAGAAGCTGATGAATAGTTACTTTGCTGACTCATTCCAGATATATACACAAGTTCCAACGAAGGGAGTGCCCAGAACTGAAGACAGGTGTGATGGAGGTGAGGGGAAGCATCCAAAAGCCCTGTTAGAGGTACCTTTGTGATCAACCTGCTGCTCAACCACTGACTGCTGCCAGTCAAAGGCTGCAATTACCGGTCCCGATGGGTTAGGACTTAGTTCCGAAGCCTTCCAGCAGATGTCCTCGCAAGGCAGGCATGTCTGGGAGGTTCAAGATGTCACCATTAAAACAGACAGATGGGGAGGGAAAGAGACTTAAAATAGGGGTGATATAAACGTATAAACGAATTCAAAGTATTCAGTATATTCTCAAAAACCAAATTTAAAAACATAGGCAGCAGGTTCAGAAAAAAAGAGTGTCATCTTAAAAACTAAAAGAAAGTCACCTGAACAAGTGCGTTTGAAACAGCACATCTGTTTCCACCATGTTTCGTAATTCTTACACTTCCCATGTAAACAAAACAGAAGGTTCAAAAAATGATGGTGAAAAGCACGAGCACAAGGCAAACAGCATAAAGACTCTAATCCCGTCCCCCTCCCTTCCCTTTCATGTTAAAACTGACACTAATTTTATTGTGCACAGAGCCTTCTTCACTACTCCCTAGTGGCAGTGACATACAAATGTTGTCACGAAGCTGGTATTCTTGGAAACATAAAATCCATCTGCTATTTCAGAGAAACTTAAAAAGAAAAATTTCCTTAAAATAATCATCCTCATCATGACTTGTACAAATGGAAAGTTTTGATACCACATTAAAAATATTTGACTTGCCCTTCTAAGTAGTGAGTAATGCATCCATAGCTAACTACCCACAGACACCTATTAGAGAACAGAATGATTCATCAAATACTAGTCTACAAACTCAAAGCTGGGATTCTTTCCCCAGGTCTATCAGACCAGTATCTCCAGCCCTCAATCCACTGCCTGCTTTAATGCAGATGTTCATGGCTTCATACCCAAGAAGCTGTGTCAGGGAAAGGTGAAATCAAGAAATGTGAAATCAAGAAGATGAGAATCACTGACTTCTTCAAGAGCAGATACAGAAGTGCTGAAACTCACGGCTTACTGGGAGAGCAGCCAACTGGGACATGTCTGTCACTACACTTTGGCTGGTGGAAAGAACTCCAGACTGTCCCAGCTTCTGGAAAATATGGGGTTTACAATAGGTGGGACAGACTTATCCACCAGAGCTTCTTCAGTGGCTCAAATACCTAGGAGAGATTTGTCTGCCAGAGCTTCTTCAGTGGACCCATTGTGGCACTTACAGAGAGAAAGCACTGCTATGTTCAACACACTGAATTAGGTTCAAGGTAACATCATCATGATGCTCATGAAATCTTACAGGAGTAGGGAATTTGTCAGTATTTTGTCTTAATCTTCAATAGCATGGGTGAATGATTTTCTGCAGGCTGATTATTCTCAATTTCAACAACAAAAGTTAAAGGAAAAAAGATTTTTTAGACTGGATTCAGTGAATGACTATGGTCAATAATACAGAACTGTTACATTTCTTGACTGGCAAATGCTTTCATGCCATAGAAACATCACTGTTTCTATGCATGTAATTTGTCCTAGGAAGAGTAGAATCCAGGTTCCACGCCCTGAAAAGCAGGTAAATACAGTATTAAAGCTATTACAGTTTTTCAGTTTAACTAAGGTTCTCTTCAGCTGTCACAAAAAATACATATAAAATTCTCTTCAACCTTTGAGTTGCACTTTACTTAAGCAAGCAAAGAAAAAGCACAGAAGAATTCCACGAAATCAAAATTTCCATTTAAAATATCAAAGGATAAATACAAATGATGAACAATGGCCAGGAAAGAGCTACAGACTAGTATTCATTTAAGATTACTTCACTAAGCTCTTTGTCTTGAATTGTAAGCCCCTCAGCCTTCAGCCAGACTGAATTACAGTACAAGCAGAGGTTAATTCTACTGTTTCCAAATAAAGACCTCCTATGGGAACAAACACACAGCTCAAACAAAACCATAAAAAATGGTGAAGCAATCCTAATTGTAACCAGCTATTTCTCCATAGCTCTAGTTTTATCAAGTACACATATTCCAGTCAAATCTTTACAAACTATGCCAACAAGTCATTATTTCCCCCTCTTGGCCCCATGAAAACTGTGCAAGGATAACTGTACACGTCCACAAAATAGAGGATGTCATTTTATTGGAGGTCCACAGGTAATTGTATCACATTAGGGAGTGGAAGAATCTTGTGGTATGGCACAACACAATATCTCACTTAAACACTTAAACAGAAGGTTAAATGATATGCAACATGATCAAATCAGTAATTCATCATCTTCTAGGCACCACTGATTAATTTAAAATAAAATTTAATAAATTCAAAAAATATAGTCCATTCATTTGTTTGCTGTACTGTCTTTAAACGAAACAGCACTTTGAAAGTCACAAATAAAAAAGCAGCACTTTCTCTTAATACCAACACCACTGTAACACATACTGTAGCGTGGCATGCAAATCCACATCTGCAGTTCTTTTTTTTGTTTTGTATTAACAAATGGAATGGCAATTTTCTATCTCAAATATTGGTAGCATAACATGTAAGTGCAGATCATTCTGGCCACAGGTGTGGTAAGCCGCAACAAGTGTGTATTACAAGAGCATAGAACACAGAGCATGACACTTACATCCAAGAATCTCTCTCTTTTGTACTGTACATGGTGTTTGCTACAGGCTGACTTCCGACTTGCTGTACCCAAGCTTCAGGAAACGAGATTATTGACCTTTTCTGGTTTTATTTAAAAGTAAAATGCAGTCACCATCAAAGCACAACCGTTAACAACCTGGCCAAAAAAATGCCATAGCTCCATTGAAAAAAATCACTCGTCCTTTTAGTAGACTCCATTAAGTGACAAAGTTTCCGTTACAGGCATATTACGAAGCCTTACAGTGGTACTGCAGTGTCATTCCTGTCAAGCACAGATTTGCAGAGACACCAGGACACAGTGTGGTGTTCAGAAAAGCTGTTCAAACTGAGCTGAGCTTCACGAGGCCGCGCACGGAGTCCTCGTGCAGCGAGTCCTGGCTGGCCAGGCTCAGGACGTGCATGGTGCGGCTGTGCGCGATGGGGCTCCCGCTGGACAGCATCCCGGGCGGCGACGGCGCTTCTTCAGGAGTCAGGAACTGGTGGCCTTCGTGCTCCTCTTTTAATGGTATGATGTCTGTCAGACCTGAATCTGATGTGAGATTAGGCATAGAAGATGGTGGTGTTGGTTGCCCTAGAGTCAGAGTTGCACAAGGCCCACTGAGAGAAGTCTTTCCTGGTAAAGGGAGCTCTTCACTAGTTATGCTTGGCTCACTCTGTAGGAGGGGGGTGGCAGCAGCCTGCAAAACGAATTTAGTGCTCTGAATGCACTGATCTTGGTCACACTGTAGGATGGAAGGGTGTCAAAATCATATAAAAACAAAACAGAGAAAAAAAAAGGGAGGATATGGACAAAAAGGTATGGAAAAGAATGGGATGTGAAGAGAAAAAAAGAAGGCCATTAGTATCATTCCATGGTTAGCCACCCAAACATCCCACGGCATGCTGCCCAGGAAAAAAAAAGAAAGGCATGCATAACTGAGCCAATGCTTTGCATTATAATCAAAGAAAATGATGATATACATTTACAGTGTTCATTTAAGGGTTCTTTAAAAAACACTAGGCAATTTTTTCTTTTAACTGGTCTTCACACATAGGAATTAACCTACTACAGAGGTTTTCCAGAACAAGAAGTCTTTTGAGAGAGATATCTACCACAGTTAGTAATAAAGCTCCATGAGTAAAATTTTTTCCCCTCCCAATTTAATACATTATATATAAATTCTAGGGAATGTCCTATGCTATACTCCATACTCCAGAGGATGTGTAGAAACCAGGCAGCACTGCAGATGCATCGAGATCAACCTTAATGAATTTTAGGCTGTTTCTTGATTAATCCTGACAATGTGATGAATCAAGGTACAAAACACAAGTTTTCTGGCAAGCACTGTCTCAATAATAAGCCAAATCCAGCATTATATAAATCTAGTTAATCTCAGTGAGTGCTACCAGAAATGCATTTTTTTGGTTCTACACAATTCCTAAAAACAGTTTATACAAAATTATCTCTCATTGCTTGAGATGAAAAGACAGGTGTGCATTTTAATAATGTCCAGCTAGCTAAGTGGGTAGTACACCTACTGCCAAATTAAGTTTCTTTAACATGGATTGGCATGATTTTTGAGAGCTCCTAAGGAAAAAATATTTAATTCATTGCCTGATCAGTGTCTTATAACATTGCAGCTTTTCAAAATCTTGTTAGATTCATTTGCCAAAGTACTGCTCTGCTGGGTAAGAAAAACACTACAACCAGTGAATACAACTACAAATGCAATGAAGGACATTTGGAGGCAAGCAAGCAGAATAAAAGATATATCCAGAGGTAAGACATCCTATCCACTGTTATTTCAAGTATTCCATTAAAGCAATATGTTCTGCTCTATGACTGACTTCTTAGATTTTTATCAAATTACTACATATTACAGATACATCACCTGTTTTTTCTGACCATAACCATAATATTCCTGACCATAACCATTATTACTAGCATTGTTACAAAATGGGCACTTCCCTAAGATGCCCATTTGAGTTTAGTATGCCACTGCACCACACTGAAAACTCATGGGAAGGCTTTTGCCTCCTTTATTGTATGATGAAAAGCACGATAAACAATGGTTAATTAAAGTAACTCTGTTGTTTTCAGGTTCTCCAATTTCACCACCAAATAGCTTAATGATGGATGCACACACCTAACATTCAGCAAGTGTGCAAGCAGACTACTTGGTCATAAGAGATAGGCAGTGTTTAAAACACATCTAAGTGGTTTAGGACTCCCAGACCAATTACTTTTGACAGGCAGAAGCTCAATCCTTACTCAGATACGTATTTCCAAGACTTCTGCTTTCAGAAAGATAAATGGACTGGCCTTCTGTTACATAAATTGATTTCATATAAATTGCAAGCTATCTTCGCCCCACAAAATGATGAACAGCCTCAGCCAAACAACTGAAGTGGTTCCTTATCATTTCAGAGGGATTACTCACAGGCTTAAAGCCATAACCTTGCTTAAGTACCTTACTAAGAAGAAATCTGTCAGCATCTTTTAAAGTCAAGCTTTCAATTCGTAATGCAGTGTGAATAACTCATTCTTGATTAATATCCTGTTATTCACACCTGCTTATTTAAATTAAAACTTCAACCAACCTTACCATGCACCCTTAAAAAAATATGCTAGCTGAATTTTCAAACTTCAAAAAGACCAACGAAACCTATTTTCTCTGAAAGGCAGTAGCCAAAGAACAAGTTAAATAACAAAGGAATGCTTATAACCACTGGGGTACACTGAAAACAAATAATGTTAGCAGCTGACTTATTGCTTTAGTGAACATTCAGTTCTGATCTTCCAAAGGAAATCATTAACGTGTTCCAGGCAATACAAGCACAAGCTTTGCTGAAGAGGATTTATTTGAACTCATTGTATAGTCTGAATTAATTTTCTTAAGGAATGCTACTGCATTTCAGTTAAATTAATATAAAAAATATAAGGTAGCCTCAATAAAGCTCCATTACATAGTGTTATAACCTCAGGTGCTAAATATCTCTTCATTTTCCACACACTTGTAACTTCCCTAAAGCCTCTCCTTTCATTTAGATAAATTTCAGGTTTTCTTTTTCTTGTCTGTTCAACAGTGATCAGCACAAAATCCTTAGGAAGATACAGGCTGTAAAGACATTTCTAGAAAGGGAACTATTGCAGGTTCTAACCCAGAAAATGTATGTGTATTCTATGGGCTCAAAAACATCTGATAAAAACATCACATAATATACAGGTAGACTATTCTTGAGTCTAAACAGCCAACACAAAACTAAAACAAGGAAATCATATTTGTTATAGGGTTGGCGTGGTGGGGTTTTTTGTCGATTTTGTTATTTCACTCTTGACTGAATGCAATTTAGGGCAGAAAGTCTTAGTTGCTACTAATCACATGACTTATCCAGCATCGGAATTTCAAATAAAACAAAAAAGCCTATGACTGTAACAAAAAGGAAGCTGGGCATTAAAATCTAAATGACTAAAAATCTACTGCAAAAATTATTCCACCAGCATCTTCTTATTTCAGATATGCTGACTTTATTTTTCACTTAAAATGTCACTGTTTCAGAGAAACAGCAGATTCTAAAGGTAGGACAAGTTTAATAAGTTCTACAAGTACAGAAGTTCAACTAAATATATGCACAGAAATTTTTAGGTATCTGTTTATTTCCACATAAAAAGGCAGAAATTGAAGCAAATTGGGCAAAACCTAGAATTCTCTGTTTATTTCACAATAAATACAAACAATTGAGGAAAAATACTTTTCTTTTTTCTGAAGAAAGTATGTTTTTTCTAAGCTACACAAAAAATATGAAAATATTGTTGTACATGGCAATATATTTTTCACATTTCTAAATGTGATTATCAGAATTAGTTACTTTAAATATTAAATAAACTTAGTTTAAAATTTCCTAAATGCTAGTAACGTTCAAGAATTGTTACAGTTCTCAGAAGATGGATAAAAGCAGGCTGAGTAGTCTCACAAACTCTGAATAAAATACAAACAACATGGAGTTCAGAGGAGGCTGACAGTGGTATGAAGTTACAGGAAGAATGCTGAAATACCAAATTCTGTACACAACAAATGGTAAAGAGTGGAGGGATAGAGCTGTGTAAGTGTCCCCAGCAGGTGTAGGATTTCACAATCAAAATTAATGTGTTGTGGATACTGTGCAACAGCTGAGCCACAAGCCTCAACAACTCAATGGCTCTACTATCAAGCAATACAGTAGTAGTAAATGAGTATATATTCATGATGAGTAGATCTATGAAGGGAAACACTTCTGACACACTTCTGAAGCCAAATGGGAAGCAACACTTGGCCCAGAGACTTTACTTCAGATTGGAGACTGTTTGTTCTTATGGACTGAAAGTCTGAGAATGCTTAGAGCAACTTGGGTGCATTCCAGGGGCGTATCTTCTAAAATAAATCTAGTTCATAAAAATGCAGTAAACATGCACTATCAAAAGAATTGCTCCTAAAACATATCTCAACCCAAAGTAAATGCTGAAATTTATTTACTTGCACTGTGCCTGTAACCCATTTTACCTGTGAAGTAGAACGCATTAAGGAAAAACTTCTATCAACCTTGACTGTGGTAATATTGACTTGGTAAAAGCCCTAAGTTTTGTTTTGGGCATCTGGGAAGTACATCAGTAAATATATAAGGAAACACACTCGCAAAACTCCCAGAAAAATGGGGCTGTGGTCCTTGCCAATTCTGTTATTGTCATGATAGAAATACTACTCCTAATAATGCAAAAAATGAAAAGCAAAGGATGGCCAGAGTTAATGCTCCCTGAGTCAGCTGGATCTACTTCCAGATCAGTAGCAGAAATACTTAAGTGAACATGTGGAGAGGACTTTCCTGCACTTATCAGTGGTAATAAATGTTGTGCACGCACTACAGTTCCTCCAATTTTCAGCAGTACATATACATAAGTGTAAGAAAACACTTTAAATAATTTGCATCCAGGAAAGGAAATGGAGAATTAGAAACAAGGGAATTTGGTACAGAGAGAACTACCTATTTACTGAAGAAGAAATGCCTAGGAAACCAAAGCAAAGTCTATCACTTTACAAGGCATTAGAGATTTCCTAGAGATATCATAGTAAATATAAACCAAACTAATTCCTCAAAAAATGTTAATGAAGTGAGACATATTCTGTGTTTCCCCCTAATGGATCGCTAAAGAATAAAATACCCTATATCAAACCCTAAGAATCAACTCCAGCTTTAAGATAAAATTAAGTACTACAGTGGTCCAGACCCAAGTAGTGGCAATTAATGAGTTTATGGGTAAATAAGAAATTTTTCAGAACACAAAGAAAATAAGGTTTTAAATAAAAGAGAAAGAATAAATTGCAGAGAAAATCATTATTTCATAATAGGTGAGATACTGTGTTTCATACAAAAAAATTTCTTAAGAATAAGAAAAATACTTGGGTAATCAAACTGATGATGAGCAAAGAAAAATAATCAGCAATAAAACGCAACAGGAAAATGCTTTGGAAATTACCAGTACTACAGATTATGAGTTCCAAGTGACCATGCTTTTTATGTGGATAAGGATATTAAGAAGCTGGCTAATGAATGTACCAGACTAATTTCAAATTATATTGAAAAAGAAATTAAAAACACTGGGGAATGCACCAGGAAAATAATTGTATGTGCTTCCTTCTGGAAGTAAATAGAGATTCAGCTTTCAGTAAAACAAGGTAGATACTACGGAGTAGTACGGAAAGAACATGAGAAAAACCTCTTCTATGAAGATCTAGGAAAAAACCAAAATCACAGTATGGATCTATAAAGCACTAATTATAGCTATGACTCTGACTTCCTGAGATTGTGACAAACTGGGCTGCTACCACGAGTAGGGTAGATCATGCACTAAATACTCAAAGTATCAGAGGCAAAATTACCACAAAAGCTGTTAAATACAGATAGAGTGCCCCACAAATGGTATCCGGAAACAGAGATGATGTATTGTGCTGAAAACCAGCATCTGGCATCTTTACACTTAGCCTGATATTTATTTTGAACTTAACTGCAAAAATGAGGCTATGCTAAAAGATTTATTAAAATTAATGAAAAGAGTATTATACCAAGCAACAACACAGACTTAATGAGAGACAAGAGACTCCTTGGGTGAAACACAAGAATTCTATTTAGAAAGTCACTAGTCACTGACTCCTATAAGGAGCTGCTGAGGGAGGTGGGGCTGTTTAGTCTGAAGATGAGGCTCAGAGGAAACCTCACTGCTCTCTACAACTCCCTGAAAGGAGGTTTTAGCCAGGTGAGGGTTGCGCTCTTCTCCCAGGCAACTAGTGACAGGACAAGAGAATATTGTCTTAAGCTGCACCAGGGAAGGTTTAGGTTGGACATTTGGAATGAGTTCTTCACAGATGGGGTGATTACACATTGGAATGGGCTGCTCAGAGAGGTGGTGAAGTCACCTCCCCGGAGGTGTTTAAGAAAAGACTGGATGTGGCACTGAGTGCCATGGTGTAGTTGACAAGGTGGTGCTTGGTCATAGGCTGGACTCAATTTCAAAGGTCTTTTTGAACCCTAGTAAAAGATTCAAGGGAAGAAGGGGAAATGAAAGAGAGAAGGAATAAGAGAAGACAAGTGAGAGAGAACATGCTGATTTAAATCTTTATTTTTAATCAATGATGAGGAGAGATATTTTAGTACACTGTGGATTAAGCAGGGTAACATCTAGACATGAAGACCTGATATAATACATTCTGCAATAAAATCAAGAGAGACACACCACAAAGGTGTTCTGAAACACACTTCATACTTCTCCTAATTTATTTCTTGTAATCAAAAAGCATTAAGCTTGCTAAAGTAGTATAAATATCTCTGATAATGTATAAACGGCCAAACTTCTGTGATTGGAAAAGTATTATGATCTACATCTATGATCTACACATACTCCTTTAAGTCAAGGAACTTAACTTTGTCTGTCTTTATCTGAAATCAATAATAATACCAGTTCCAGTACCAGATATATCCCCTTCAACAGGGAAGGGAATACAGTGTTAGAGAGATAGGTAAACTAAGCCGGTCTCTAACAGTTTACAACAAAACTCAAGGGAGAAATTTTAATATTGATAGCCAGCTGTCCTTAGAAACCAATTGGTCTTGGATACAAACCAGGAGAAAAGATGCCCTGAGAAAAATGGCATTACAGTCTTCCAAAATATTCCTTCAAACCAAACAAGACATATTAGATTTTCCAAGCTTTTCTAGAGGTCATTTTCAGGAGTGAAATCTCCACATTTCAGAGCAACTCTGATAACTGTTAAGGAACACAGGCTTTTCCCAGGTCATGTGGATATAAGCTCATTTCTGAGCTCATTCTAGGATTTAAGAAGAAATCTTTGAAGAATTTGTGTAATTAGGAGTAATACACTCTAAAATTGTAACAGCTACCTGTTTGACTTAAAGTAATACCATAACAGATTTCTCCATTTCTAGAGACAAACTTAGTCAATTTTCTACCAAACTGGCAAAGATTTTCTCATTAATACCTAGGAATAATGATATAGTGTCTAAATTCTTGCAATGATAAAGACAATTTGATGCCATGGACACATTGTGGGTTTATGATCATCACCAATAAGAAGCCTTGAGAGCATCAGAATGTTTGGGTGATTCCTGAAAGACCTCAGCCCATTACTAATGTTTGCTTTATCCTTTTTTTCAACTCCTTTTTCTCTCTTCAGAGTTATAATATTTTGAGTAAAATTTACATAGAGCATTACCTTGTTCTGCTTGACTGCACCTCAGAAGATTCAAACTTAATACCATGCCTCTAATACATTTTCTTATTAAGGAGACTAACAAATCTATTTAATTCTCAAAACATTAAGCAAAATCAGCTTAGGAACTACAGCAAAATTTTTATAGGAGTTTATCAGTGACACTAAAACTAATCTGTCTGGGAAGAGTGCATCTTTTCTTCTTTTGTTCAAAAGAAAGGCTGAACTATGTCAGAAGGCCTCATGGCTTCCTCGTTTTTGCAGAGGGAGGATATCCGTAATTCATGACTTCTTCGACAAAGTATTAGAATCCACATACTGTGAAGATATGTGGACAACAATTCAGAAATAGGCACATATGCAAGGTGGTTGCCTTCAGAAAAAGATCTCTTTCCAATTATTCTCTTCTTCTTGGCACTGGAAATCCTATCTTCCATTATGATAGCCAATGCTACCAGCAAAAAACCAAAGCAAATACTACTGGCACAGTTTCAAGGATGTTTAAAAAAACTTTTGTTGTAACAATTCAGTGCCATTTTTTGTTCAGGTTCAGTGTCCTCCTGCTCTTTCTTCAAAATATTTCTCGCCTAGGAACTCCTCTTTGTTCATCTTTGATTTTTAAAATACATTAGTCTATGCAAAACTGCAGTGCACAAGCAAAGAAGGAAATAGAGTATGAACAAAGTGGCACACAAAATAGCAATTAGCTGGAAAATGACAAACCACAGTAAGTCCACGATACTTGAATATTCCAGTTCAAAACACAGTAGGTGTCAAGAGCACAAGTCAAAATGCCAGTATATTCAATAAACCAACAGCGTAGAAAAGACTCTTTTTTTTAGAATCCATGAGCAGTAACTACTACACTGTGTGAAATGTACATTAAAAAGAGCCTTGGACTTTGTTTTTTTTTCTTTACTGTTATTAAACAACTCATTCCACCCAGTGTGTCAGCTGTATCCAGTTAGTTATTACTTGATTAGTTCACATGAAAGTGGAGAAGAAAAACATTCACAGGAATCCTGATGAACAACACTATGGGATGATTCCTACCATGTTGCTCTGAGATTGTGTGGCCCCGTACATGGTAATGCCATTTGATGGTCCTGCTAATTGCGGCGTATCTGGCTGTATAAATCCTCTTCTGTCAATTAAGCTACAGAATAATCACAATAAAGGAAAAGTATTAGAGATGTTGCTGATCATTAACTATGTCCTCTCAATAAAAAGAAATAAAAACTTTCTATCGTACAACACACTTTAATACCTCACCAATACCTTCTAATGTCCCCTTTTAGTCAAATAAAGTACTAGACTTCATTTTCTACTCAACAGTAAGGTACTTGTTCTTTGTGATGCTGCCTGTCATATATATAAGCACCGCTGCTTTTTTGATTTTTATCACATATACTTAGAAGCTTACCAGCAGATACCACAAAACCAAAGAATTTTAAACCACAGGTGAAAAAACAAATGACAAAACTCACTTAGGATACTTTGATTCAGTATCTCTTTTATCTCTTTTACAGGTTCTTTTTTTATTTTTACCAGCTTCCACATCTAAATTGAAACTACTTAATCACAAAATTTAGCAGGAATGAAGAAAAGTTAATCTTTCTGACAGACAACTTAACTTGCCAGGTGTTTCATGACAGCCACTTAATACTGCTTATAGTGTTCCACTGTGCTTACTAAATTTCTTATTTCTAAGAAAATACTCTGCGGAGAAATTACTAAATGTAAGCAAAAAAACCCCAAACTGTAAGATTATAACCAAATACATAGAATGAAATAATCCAACCTAGTTAAAGATTAAAGATACCTAATGAAGTTATATAATTTGTTGCCCCAGAATACTGGTTAGACCTATGCTGACAGCCAAGGATCAAATAAAGATTTGAAGGTAACTGTTGAGGACATGTAAAATACATTCTGAATTTGATAGCAGAGGTTTAAAAATGATGAATGATCTTTAACATAAGTGAGGTAAGTTTTGATTATTTACAGATCCTTTCTTCATCTGCATTCCATGCTCAAGGCACTTGAACATTTTGAATTTTGAGCTGAAATTACTGGTAAGCCACTTTTCCAGAATTTAAGGAAAAAACCTAATATTTAGTGACTTGGGACATAGCTGAGATTAAAAGTAAAAGAAGCAAGCTTATAATTTACATGGTACAGTCAGTAAATTTTTCCCTGTGGTCACAAAATACCTCTCTGCAGAACCTCTATATATACATGTCAATGTCTAAATAAGTAATGGAATTTAGGAAAAAAATGCACAAACTCTGCTAAAACACAGGAGCCAATGCCAGTCTGGTCCAATTGTGTGTTGCTACTTTTATCAGCCTAATACACTACTTCATATACTGAGAAAAAAGATGTAGTTTTAATAAAGATTTCCATCTGGAGTCAGAAGAATTTGAAGCGTGGCATTGAGCTTTTATGTCACATACTTTTATCAAAAGCAAAATTTCAGAATTAAAAGGTTGGCTTCAGGCAACATCCATATAGGCAGGAAGCAGAGACAAAGCTATTCACTCTCACCAGGGGTAACCCTGTATGTGGAAATCTCTATTCTGTTGTTTCCTCTTTAGGAAAAGATGTCAGTCTCCCCTGTTAAACTCTGACTGCTCATAGAAGAACTGCCTCTGACATTCCTGACAGCTAAGCCAGAAATCTCACTCCAATTAAACACCTGAGAGTCTTGACCATAAAGTCATTTAATATCTTTCTTCTTGTTCAGATTAATAACTTCACAATTCCAGGCAAAGCAAAACATACTAACCAAGGAGCAGGCCACAGAATTATCTTTAAGTTTTTCTGCCCCTCTCTACAGTGAAACTGGGCCACTACTGTGTATGTAGTACATGAACTGCCTAATCACTGAGCATTGGAATAAGAAAAGAATTAAGTTTTTATGGCTGCCAGTTTTATGCCTCTAGTGTCAGCTCTGTACTACATTTTCTTCAAGATGAAAAATCATCTCCAACCTCAAGTATATAAATATTTCAGACTTCCAGAGGTGAAAATGTATTGAGCAAAACATTACCCCTTACATGTTCTTTGGAATCGCTTTGGTGTAAGACCACCAAAATCAGTTTAACATATATATGTTAACAGTATTAAATAAAAAAAAACACTGTCCATTTAAAAACAATACTTCAGAGTTAAGAGACAAAAATCAACAATTATCAAGCTAGTTGTATATTTAAGGTTCCTCAACTCTCCCCAACTCATGTCACATTTTTTAGGAATGAAAAAGTTTCATAAACTTCCAGGTTGACCTTCATGCAACAGCTAACTACTAGAAATTTTTTATTGCTCTAAGTTATTAACTGCAGTGGTGAAAGTTCAAATAACAAATAAGCTTATTTCCATTTCAGATGTAATTTTACAAGATTTGATCACTAACTTAGTTTAAAAACAATTTACCAACTTATCTCTTTACCGCTGAAGAAAAACTTAAAGCCTCTAACGGACACTAATCCAAAACTTTCATTTTGCTGAATAAAATCAAATAATCAAAAAGAATATTTTTTTCATTAATAATCACATGGCTTCATTTATGCTAACAACAGTTTTGATAGTCTTACCTTGGAGAGAGGGGCCCACAGAGAGCAGCACAGCAATTAGTAAAGATGTTGCCATAACTGTAGGGATTATAGTTTTCTTTACCTCTTTTATTTGACCATGATCCTTTAATCTGAAGAGATATGAACAATATGCATCACATGTAATACAATACAGAAAATGGCTGTGAGAAATTAAGGTTGCACATGCTACTTGCAGAAGAGAACACAGAAAATCCATCATGACACTTTGCAAACAATTTAAGAGTTCCGGGTTGTTATGAAGGCTGGACCTTATGAGCACATGCTTTAGCTCCATAGATGTAGACAACCCACAGTCTCAAGAGATCAATATACTCAAAACAGGAATTTCAGCACCTAAACAATGATCCAAGTTCAATTTTACAAATATTATAACACGTTTTACAGAAGAGGCTCAATTGCAAAATATGATTAAAGCCAGCAATTGAGCACTTCTTTTCCATACTATTGGGTAAGTTTGCAAGCTGTGCAATATCACACAACATTATTATCCCTAAAGTTCACAAAAGATTCTAAAATATAGTAAAGCAAATGCAGCCATTGCTACCTTTTATTGCCTATTACATTTTCCCTTAGCTAGTTTTCTTTTCTGTTTGTGAGATACTTGAGAGCCTGAGTAAAATGTCTTGCTGTATTCAATTGGGAATTTATGTTTTAAATTAAATTACTGAACAGTTTACTTGATATTCAGACATGTTCCACTGCTGCAGTTCCCTGCTATCTATCTTTCAACAATCCAGAAGAGACATTTATTTGAGGGAAGAGGGTGGAAGCACACTAAGTCCATCTAGAGAGACAACCTTGAGTAAACCTAATGACTGAGGAATAACTGGGTATCTCATCTGTCTTATTAACAAGGTAGATTTCTTCCAAGTCAAGCTACTTGTTCTGATACTTGATGCTGAGGCACAGTTCATTTTGACTCTGCCTGGGAAGTGTTTTTCTGGTTGGTTGATATTTACTGTAAAATTTATACTTTTAACTGTGACCTTAATAACAAAACATATTTGACAATACTAAAGATGCTACTTTTATATCTACCAGATACCTACGAAAAAGGTACAATAGGAAATTACAATAAAATAACTTAAACCTTGCAGTGCTTTGTTATATCTCTGATTAAATTTCCATTAGCTCCCTAGCTAATTTTATGTACTCCTTTCATTCATTAAATATTTTTCCTTTTAGTTAGGGAAGGACACATGAAGACTCCAAACACAGTTAAACATAATTCAACAGCAAAACAAAGGAGTCCTATATGCAAAATAGACAGCTGTAGAAATGAGAAAGTTGATCTTTAAATTGATTATATACTCCTTGCCAGAGGTTTTGGACCTCAGAATGGCAAAAAAAGTTTCAGAGGTAAGATAAAATAAAGGATGAAATTTTTGTTTAGTGAATTCAACACATTTTTCAAGTTTCACAGTAAGCAATTTTTATGTTAAAGACTATTTACCACTCCCAATGAAAAGGAGATACTGAAAAGTACTTACTAATCTCCTACTGTATAAAATATACTTGCTTGTCTCCTCCCTCCTGTATTTTCCTATTTCAGGACAGAGATCCTACATGCATAAACCATAATGGACATAGTATGTACATAAGGACCACATCTTCAAACCACAACAAACACAGTCAAAAAGATCTTTTATCTGATCTTTTGAATCAAGCAGGACTATATTAATTCTTTCTCTTTCCTACTGAGGTATTCACAAAATGATGCAGACATGTCTGACTTGAGAAAAACCTCCTCATTACTATTTAGAAATACATATGTAGAAATATACTATAAACTTACATCTTCATTTGTTGTTTGATTGGAGCTGATCAAATACGTATGAAAACCTGAGAGGCCAACAATGGACCATACTGAGAAAAAACATACCACAGCTTCCAGCACAGTAATTAGAAGTCAAGGAAATATACACAAATGGGAAAAAAATCCAACAACAAGTAGTTAAAATCACAAAATACAGGGTAGCCCACAAGTCCTTTGAGATCTCTGGAGTACTTCAAAGAGGTCAGCAAAAAAGAAACTCTGGGCATCTGCCTAGCCGAGACACAGCACCACCCCTGCCATGGTGAGCAGTGCATGTCCCACCAGCAGACTGCTGCTGTGAGCTGCAATGTCCAGAGTCATTGTCTCATAAGTAAGACAATAAAGTTGCTTCTAAACTTTATAGAATCAAGCATAAAGAGGAACTTCCCAAACTCTCCGTAGAAGGCTTTCTTCTACAGCTTTTATTTATTTACTTACACAAAACAGCCATGAACTCAGAATAAATCTACTTTGAGAATGCTGTTTTCTATAATGCTTCAATATTTTTGGGATTTTTTTAAAGGGAACATGATTCAACAGAAGAAAAGGCTTTGGTTCCTAGAAAAATACATATAATTCATCACTAGGAACAAAATGATGAGAGAAGAATAGGATAAAAATAATCTGTATATTAACCATATCAACCTTTAGTGAAGTCAGTTTCCAAGACAACGTCAACTCAAAATTTTCCAGAATAAGGATATAGCCTTAGAACACAGAAAATACATCCTTATTACTGAACCTACCAATAGAGGAAAAATATGACAGCTCCTGACCATTACACAGAGACATGGCTTGGAAATGGCATGGATGGACATAAATACTTGCAATAAAAAAATCCTAACATTAGTTAAAAGTGAAGAGTTTTGTACTGCACAGCTGCTCACCCCTAATGAACTGGGAGATATCTCAAGAGTTTGTCTAATCTTCCCTAGGACCTACTTCAATCAGAGTGGTTTAAAGGCAGAAAAGAGCCATTTGCATTCTGAGCAGATCTGCTCCAAAAGCAGCAGGATGACCAAAGTGCAGTGCTGAGCAGCAGGTTCACTGCTCTGCCTCTCATTTCCTCCTCAGGCTGTGTGATAGCAAATCAACACAAGTCGGGAACTCTGACTCTCTGCAACAGCCACAGCTAAAGCAAGGAGTACAAGGGATCATGGGTAAGGAAACAGACTCCTGGTAGAGGATTCTAAAACATGTAAAAGAAGGAAACAGCCCAAAACATCATGCACAATACAGACTGGGCTTTGAAAGAGTAGAAATAGTAAAGAAGGCTGCAGATGAGCACTGTTAGGTAGAATCTACACACCAGGAGAAAGATTCACCAGGTCAGAAAAAAAGAACCTTAGAGGGAAAACAGCTCCCTGCAACCTGGACATATCACCAACAGGATGTTCCTCATCACAATTACACTCAAAAGGGTACCGAAAACTGTGTTCTTCCCTCCATGTCATAATTTGTGCTGGGGGAAAAAAAGGAATTCCTTTCAGTTCCCCATAGAAAGGGACACTTTTCAGTTCCCCACACAATGATCCAAAAACAACTCGAAAACAGCAGGGGTAGTTTACATCAAATTAACCAGAATCCACAAATTCAACCTAAGTCCATTAACTGTAAAAAAAACACAAAAAAGCAATGCATTCTCAACAAAGTACAGCTTTGTAGTATATTATTAATATTATGGTATAGTATCTTACTAGCACCATACAGTATAATTTTCCTTTAGTATTCTCACACAGTATTGTTAGCAAGATTTAAATGGCCACGTTCTCTGTGCCTGAATCGACTGGCTCCAAAGTAACATTCCCAATACTATTTGGACAATTTAATTTTTTACTGCTGTTAACTGTAACCAAGCTTTTAAATTGTCCAACATATCACTATCAAGCCAGGCATTTCTGCAAGATGTGCTACTAAGCCTTTTAAAGCAGCACATCTCTGAACAAAAATTATGAATTCCAGGCTATTGTTCCTGTACAAAAATTCTCCAATGCATAGGCCATTCTCTTTTGATTTAAAGAAAATGGAAAGGTATTCTCAGTTTGAAAATAGTTTGAAAGAATTATCTTTTGTAAAAATTGATTGTAATTATTTTAATTGGAAGCTACTGTTGTTCTATTTAGGACTGTTTGTTTGTGCTTTTTAAAATTATTTGCACAAAAAAATCTGAACCTGGCTTTGCTTAAAAAGGGAGTTTACAGCTCAGTGATTCTACCTGATGAGGACAAGCACACAAAAAAATGTATCTGCAGAATTTGGCACTTGGGAAAATTATCTGGAAAGAGGTGCACAACTATGCACAACAGTTTTTTTCTTCCTACCTTTGTGTGGAAAAGCAAACTGTGTGAGGCACAATAGACAAATGGGAAAGAATACTTTTTATAGTGTCTTTATAGTGTCTTTCCTATTCAATCAGACAGCAATCATTCAAAACATATACATAAGCAATGGGAAGCTTACTGTCTGTAGAGAAACTAACCAGTGGTTTCATCAGTTTCCCATTTTTTCATTATGTTAGCTGCTTTCTGGCTCCAATCTCACTGAGTAGAAAATATACAGAAGGCTCCCATGAAGTGATAAATAGCGCATGGAGCATTTACAGAATAGAACCACAGAATGGCTTGCGTTGGAAGGGACCTTAAAGGTAATAGAGGTTCCAATCCCTCTGCCATGGGTAGGGACATCTTCCACTAGACCAGGTTGCTCAGAGCCCCACCCAGCCTGAACACTTCCAGAGATGGGGCATCAGCCAAACCTCTGGGTAACCTGTTCACATAACTCACCACTCCCATTGCAGAAACTTGGTTATGGCCATCTACACCTGCTCTCTTTCAGCTTAAAGCCTTGTTCTGTCACTACAGGCTCTGCTAAGAAGTCTCTCTGTTTTTTTTATGAGACTTCTTTATATACTGACAGAGCACAATGAAATCTCCCCAGAGCCTTGTCTTTACCAACCTGAACAACAATTGTAGTCCCTGTGTATGCAATTTACACACTGCTATGTAACTTAATGCAAGTTGCTATTTGAAAATGACTTCTCTAAAAACATGAAGAACAGTTTCAGAAATTGAGTTCTTCAAGGAAAGCATGTTGTTTCTGTTCCAAAATCTACATTTTCTATCCTGAAAATAATCAGCCATTTTGGAGAACTTCAGTTGTAAAAGCAGAACAATTCTTGAATATTTTTAGTGAAACCACAGCATGTGTATAGTGCAAAATGTATTTATGAATTCCACCACAAAATATGAAGCATATTTAATGAACATGGAAATTACAGATCTTTGTCAAGAGCACTGCTCTGCAAAACATGAAGAATAAAAACCCTTGTTCTTCAGGCTATAGTCACTTTCCTACCTCCAACATGTGGTAAGAAATCCTATTGTGTAGGAAGTGATGAAATCATCAACTGATAAAGTCTAAAAGCACACATTCAACAATGGCAAGAAAACAAGCAAAACCATCTCAGATGTTATTTTGCAACAAAATCTACAATATGTTTCAGTGAAAGGATATCTTGCAGGACTGTCCTTCAGAGCATTGAGGAACCCTGTTTGTTGAGAACCTGTAGAAATAGAACCCAAAATTACCAGCCAAGTAAGAAACTGGACTATGGGCTGTTTTTACTAGAGTTAAAATAATTAACATTTTAAGATAACCAAATAATCATAGAATAGATTTACTAATATGAATCTGAGAATATGTTGCTCAGCAGCAACAACATCAAAAAAGCCCTTGAGCAACTTTTCAGGTTTAGCATCAGCAGGGTATTTTCTCAGTGATACTAAATTGATGTACACATACTTTCCCATGAACAAGAATTCTGATTACCCTTGTTCTTTTCAGACCTAATATGGAAACAAGAATTATAACCTCCTGCTTTGTTTTGAAATACCGTTTTTCAAAGTAACTTTTGGCCTTAGAAAACTTATTCTATAAACTCAGATTCCCAACTTTCCATCCTTTGTTTTGGAAGCAAAGCTCTCTTATTTATAATTCTGCTCCTACTGCACCTACACAGAAGATTTTTCTAATATGTTACTATTGCCTCTGGGCAAATAAAAGACAATCTAGTAGCTGAAAACAGCTCAAAAGAAGCATGAGCCCATCAACTAGAAATGTAGAAGCATGCAAAGTAAAAAAGCACTTGGGTTCCACAACCATGAGATATTAATCAATTAGAGTGATTTCACAATTGCAACAAGTGAATTTGTTGTAGAAACTGACTTAATGTGGCATAGCTACCGGCACACAGTTTGAACTTTACTGTATAACATAAATGATTTAAATGCATCAGGCTGAAAGTTTTCCCCAGAGCAAAAATTTTCCACTTAGCTAAATTAATCTGAAGATCTGTATGGAGAGCAGAATCTTGTCTTGACAAGAATAAAGAAATATATGAATAATTCTCTAGACCTATCTGGTCAGTTTTACTGTTTACTGTTACAAGTGCGAAGTTACTTACCTTGTATTTCTGAGCCTTTTCAGACTCTTATAATTGGTTCTTAGTCTCAAGGTACAAAACTAATGGAACTTTCTCTGCCTCCTTACTATTTTTAGCATCCTTAATGGCAATGGCAGCAGATAGATGTGATTTCCATACCCTGCTGCTAGTCACACTTTTCCAAGCAGTGCCCAAAACATGAGAAGGGGAAGGAAGGCTGCTCACTGCAACAAAGAGGTGAAATACTGATGTCTCCAAGAGAGATGAGTAACTGGAAATACAGATACCACTACTGGAAATGTGTTCAACTTGGAGAGAGGGAAGAAAATCTTGCAAGGCAGTATCTTTAATAACTGATTTACAAATTAGTTTTATTATCTTCAGTAATGTTATGTGCACATATTCTTAAACCTAGAAAGAACAAATTTCCAATGTATGCCTCAGAAGGCCACAGAAAACAAAAATATCTATCTTGTATCTCATCACCACTTAGGCCCACCAAAATCTGTAAAATGCCAGCTTGCAAGATACATTATAAAAAATGTACAAACTTTAAAAATTTGTCTAAATCGAGAGGCATTAAAATAATTTTGGCAGGACTTATGTATGACTTTGAAATATTGTAGGAAGGTCATAGTCCGAGGTCTAGAAACCAAGACTTCCTTCAGCCATGCTAGCAAAAAGCAGTCTATGCTGAGAGCAAAGGTTCAGATTCAGGAACTGAGAACCCAGCTTAATGATTAGCATCAGCTAAAGAACTGAAGAGCTACAAACCAGAACACAAATTGGTAAGTGGTAACCATTAGAAAGGTAGACAGCAGGACTTCTAGAGGTATGGTAGGCACAAAGAGTGGAGTGTTAAGAAAACCTTACTTGTAAAGAACTCTTTTTTGGGCACTGTCAAGACTATAGCAGACAAATTTGAATACTGGGCTTGAAGCTCCAGTATATCAATTAAACATCAAGGAACTAATCACATGTATACCTGCTCCCATTGCCTTTGAGGACTGACCAATCTTTGGAGCTTAAGGATGTTTCTTCTTGTCTCATTCTAGGTAGATGAACCTCCATGGCAAGAATATTTTCCAGCTGACAGGCAATTCAGCATTTAACATTTACTATACATAATCTGTAACGCCTACACAATGCTCAAGTGCTTCTCAATCACACAGAGGCACAATAAATTACTCTGCTCTTTGCCTAAATCATACTCAAGAGTTAGGTTTGGACACTGTAAATTTAAAACCCACTAGGTAAACCTACCTAACATACATAACAGGAAATACTGACATTATATTGATAACTCATATATTGAAAACTAAAGAAAAAGCACTGAAGTCCTTTTGAAATGAAGGTAGGTAAGTGTCAAAAATAGCTTTACATTGTCAGACTAGAAATGTTTTCAACTACTGAACACTAGCAAAGATTGCATAAAAACCCATGTGTCTTTCTCCTTAAATGTAAAAGGTGTGCATGCATATACTCATGTATGCCCAGATAAATAACAAGCACTTAAGTATTAATGGCAAGTGTTCTTTTTCCAGTAATTTGCCTTTTTTAAACAATATATACATCTTATCTCTGCTTTTTCCAACAGGTATTAGAAATGCTGTACCTGGTAGTGTAAACAAGTTGTTCATTCAGACTCCCTCAAAATCACATATCCCAGTTCTAGCCTATGAACTAGATTTCTGAGCTATAGAAGGGCCTCTCAGTGCTTGCATCATAGTTTTGCAAAGAATGAGTAAGAGCAGGAATTCTGCTCTTTAAAACACAACTTTTCCCTGCATGCTGTAAACAATTTTGGAAACTGAGCACAATCTGACATATTTTTTCCAGTAAAACATTCTCTGTATATTATCATTATAAAGATAGCTTTATAAATGTGTTATATATTGAAATTATTATTTCTATCAGGTTTCTGTTGCAATACAGAATACAAAGGAATAAACAGATTACAGTTCCAAAATGGTTAAAGAAACACTCTTTAGGGCAATATCCTATATAATAAGTGAAAAATCCAGAACACTCTTCTAGCGATAATGGGTTAAAAACCCAACATACAAAAGGTGTTTAAAGACAAATCATGCAACCTGTCACCATAAATGTCACCATCACTGTATAGGAGCTAGCAAAATTAGTTACGGGTATGGAAACAAAGGACAGTACCCAAAAGAATTTTGACCTCAAACACAACCCAGAATACGAATAAAAATCAGTCCCAAACTCATTAATATTTCTAATTCACTCTATTATGAATTGGTTATTCTCAGAATGTCTATGCAAATGAAAAAAATGTTAAAAATAGGGTTGAGAATGGTATAAACTAAACAGCAAACTACAAAAAAATATAGCTCCAATCTATTTTCTAGTAATTTAACTCTTGGTCTGGATGGCAAGTGACCCATGCTTACAGTAAAAAAGCATATGGAAGCTCTTTAGGTAAATGATACTACCTGTATACTTAAATATACAGTATATGTGATGCTTTTCCAATTCATCATCCATAAAAGGAGGAAAAAAAAATAAAATTAAGACTGCATTAAGGTAAAGCCAGTGCCAGGCCAATGACTACTATGAGCAGGGCCTACTATAGACCAGAATGGGACTCACTGGGGATTGTGAAGCTTCAGAGAAAAGGCAAATAAACAAACAAACAAATAAATAAATAAACCCTGAATGATCAAAATATTAACTTAAAAAACTCAAGCAAATGGCTACATACGTAATCTGATTTCACCAGCATACTTACGAAGGATGACGTGGGTGATAACGAATGCAAATATAAAGACTGTCAGAAAGGACAGAGATAAAATAAACATATAAAAAAATCTGTAGTTTCTTTTCCCCACACAGTTGCCTACCCAGGGACAGTGGTGATCAAACCGTTCTGAAATGAGAGGCAGAAGAAAAAAAAATGGAAAACAATTAATAAAATGCTGTTTATTCAAAAAAATGCTCTCTGAATACTATATTAAAACTCATGATTAATCTGGCATTTGCAAAGTAGCCACAGAGAAGTTCTTATTTAGAAAGGAACAAAAAATAGAAAAGAAAAAAAAGGAGTACTTGAATGAAACCTTACAGTTTTTAAAGAAATTAAAGCATGGTTGAGGTGAGTTCCTGTTAAACTAACAGCCTTATTGTGACAAATTGTGCAGTCAGACCAGCAAGCATGTATTTATCCACTGTCACATGGAGCAACTCAGTTGTATTTGATTTTTTTCAAAACAAGGTGGGTTTTTTTCTTCAGTTAATCTTCTACTCAAAATTGGAATTTCTGAGGTTCTTTCCTTTACATCTGTCATGATCACACCTCTGACTTATGCCTACTATCATATCATCCATCCATTTGGAGCATGAAATATTTACACCTTCCCACTTCCTTTTATTGCTTCGTTCAAGACATTCTTCATTCTAGACCACCTATTTTTCCACTTGAAGTTGATGCTGTCATACAAGATCATTAAAAATAGAGAATCATTCACATCAAACATTTTTCAAATGATAAAATTTAAATACATCATATAAAAACTGGTAATCTGCATGCTTGGTTGCCCTTTGCACTATAGACTCTGTCTCCTTTTTACTAAGTGAAAACTTTTATCTTTACCTCCCTGAGAGAACTCATTCATGAGATAGGAAAAGGCCAGGGTGTATCAGAAACAAGTGTCCCCAACATGGGGGAAATGCTTCAGTGCTGGGAAGCAGCAGAGGGAATGGCTTCCTCTACTTTTCCCCAGGCAGCCTGGAGCCACCCTCCATGTCCAGTATGTTGGGTAATGAAACAACTATTGCCAGGAAACAAACTTGCATTTCCTAACTTTACTTTGGAGAGATTACACTGACAGAATTTTAAGGCTTTTTTAATCAAATCCAAAACCATAAGACAGATGCATTTATGCTGACTCTTTCTTTCACACTCTGATCCTTGTCCAAATCCTGGTTTGTTTTCTGTGATTTATATGCCTCCACTGATGTACTATCAAACTATTTGTAATTCCACAGGAAAGGCAAGCTATAAATGCAAAGTCCTTTAAGCCCTGTGTTAGAAAGGCCCATCTGACCAAGTACACCAGCTTATTTTAGTTGTGGATTTATGTTAAAGGCCTATATTAGAGGTTTTTCTTGAAGGATGTATTTAGTATTATCTTCATTTTAAAAAAGTCAAAACAACATGCACAACATTTCTGAGTCTACCAGACTTTCAGGGGCTTTTTTAAAAATGGTTTTGCGTGACAGCTGTTTGGACCACATGTTTCTGCCATAAATCTGTTTCAAATTCCAACAGGGCTATTCAAGGTGAAGTCACTGAACTTTCTTAGGATAAGACTTCATAATACTGTGATTGAAGGAATAGTGCTAAGAATAACAAGTACTAAACATTCTGGGTAGGTGATACTACCTTTTCTCAGTGCACTACAGTTGTATTCCCAAAATGAATTGATATTGCATTTTAAAAGTGCTTGTCTTTAAATCTGTGCTCCTGAACAAGCTCTCATATTCTGATAAACACTCTACTTCATTTAAATTCATTCATACGTACAACTCACAAGCAAACAACACCACAAAGAAACACAGCTACAGAGACATTTTAAAAGGCAGAATCCTAGGGTATTTTTGTAACTTACTGCTAAAAAAATACATTACGTGTCTCGGAAGATGAATTCTGTGTACTTAGATTCAGTCTCCTCTATGCTGACACAGTAGGGAAATGAATGATAAATAAAAACAGACAAAGCTGTTTCTAGCCATGAAATAACATTGAGATATGATGCAGACATCTATTTGATGGATTCAGATAAATGCAGACAAAAGCCATGCACATACACACAACCCCTCCATCTATAAACTCATGATCCTGTACATACACACACTCCTTACTGAGGACTGACTCAGTGTTTTTAACCTATTTGTCAATCCTCTTGAATTTCCATGTTCAAACTTTCCTGGTGGACTGAAAAGCTCTGCTATCTCAATAAATACCTTACTAATTATTGTGAAGTTAAGTAACTACCTAAGATATTTACAAAGGAGGAATGGAACAAAAAGGATGGATGCAAAAACCATTACTACAGTATTAAACTGGAATCAACTCTAATGAAAAAAGAGGCATATTAGAAGGTTTACATGAATCTTATTTATATAAATTTGGTCTCTTCTTTCTCAGACAGAAGATAGAAAGCCATGTGACATGTGCCACAAACCAGTATATTAAAAGGCAAGACATTCTACTCAGCGGAGTACAAATATGTAAATGCAATTTAAAGATAACAGCCTTACAGCTTGTGAGCTGCTCTGCATAGTTATTAATGCAGGTGAAAATTGCCAACCCTGGCAAAATGAAGAGGCAAATGCTAAGCAGAAACTTCTAATGTTGTTAAGAAATTTAAAATCCATTAAATCTGGAGCTGTTTCTTCTTCCTTAGAAGAACACACGACCTAACAGTAAGTATTAATGAAGAAGTAACACAGTGTCTTAAGGTTCACCTCCAGCATTCCAGATGCTTGACAACTGAACAACCAATGATTTTGTAAAGGAAGCTCTGACATCTCTACTTGGACAATGTTGGCAGCAAAATTAAGACAACTTCATTGAGAAATTAAGAACTACTGATGCTGAGAAAAACTGGAATTCCAGCCCTCATTAACTTAAAATGCAGAGCAAATAAAAATGCAATATATTGTGAAGAACAGACTGTTAGAAGTTCAGAAATGCAGTTCTGGTTAGTTAACAGACTACTGTATTCAAACAAACATTTGTGGCAAGGTCAATGTAAAAATATTTGAGGCAAACAGACAATTAAAACATTGGTAATATAAACTCTTGTTAGTATAAGCATATTAGAACTCATAATGAGGGAAGAAGAAGAAAGCTGAAGCACTCTATGGATAGAAACATTGAGATATATCATCCTCCTACACCCCAGTTCAAACAAAAGCAGCAAGATATTTGCCTTCTTGATGTTACAGCTGTATCTTGCATTTACCTAATCAAGAACTAGTGACAGAACAGATGGCCCAGTTTCTACCATTTCAGCAGCTCTGTGAAGTTTTTTGCCTGTGTGTTCATGGCTCTCCATTCTTGGGCCAAGCCTGGTGCTCATTTTACCCTACAGGGAGCAGGTTGACAGAGCCAGATGAGCCTAAAGCCATGGCTTTCTTTTGCCTATCTCCTCAGATCACCTCATCAGACAAACACCAAAGTGGGCCCAAGTGAAGCACTGAGAACACACTGCCAGAGAAGGAATAAAACAACACCTTCAGAAGCAGCTAAGTGTTAATTCAGCCTAGCTGTGAGACCAACCTTACTACAGGTTAGCACTTATCACAACTGCAGGAGAAATCCAGTTTTGATTAATTTTTCAGGGTCTGAGATCAAAACCTGAAGAAAATAAAAAAAGACTGAAAAAAAGTGTGAAGAGTTTATAAGGTAAAGCATAAATGAAAAGAAGACATGAGTAAACAGAGACTATAAATGCTGCTGTACAAGTCACAGAAAACCAAAGAGGTAAGAGATTTCAGGAACTGAAATTTCTGTAACTGTTACTGTCAGTAACAAGCAATATTTCATTAGTCTTTCCCAAGTGATCATCATATTTGAATTTAAATAATAACTTCTGAGGATAGCCAGCACCACCATAACTAAATCCAAAGGATGAAGCTTCACAAGATAACTGAGCAAATCCAAAACCATAGTAGCAGTGAAAGAGATAGTCAAATGCTGCCTTTCCTGCCACTTCATCTCACTTTCTTCTTTTTAAGCTGATGATGAATCAATTCAGTTCCCTGGACTACTAGGAAAGAAAAAAAAGGAATTATTTTGCTCACTGATGAGTGGGAAAAACTGACTTACCAATGGCTGTTACCAAATGGTCTGTGAACAGGCACAAACAAGAGAATCATGGAAATAAGGAAAAAAGAAATAAAGAGGAGGAATTCAAATCCCTTTGGAAGCAGCAAGCTGTCAACAGGACTCAGTGTTCTCATCAACACTCACCCAAGTGGTCTGATGAACACTCACCTAATAATCTATGCTAACCGCATAATTGAAAAACACTCTACTTCATACATTCCCCATTTTTTACCTTCCCTAAAACCTTTATATTTAAAACTTCCATAAGAAACACTAACTGTTGGATATCTCAGATAAAAACCAAACTGAGAACATTTCCCATTTTACTGAGCAATGGCCTTACACATGCAGCGTTTCCTTCAGAAGCCACACCAAAGCACGCTCCTTGCTGCTCAGAACCAAAGAGTCAAATCTCTACTTTTCCACAGCACAGCATGTAGACTCCTAAATACTTAAATGTTCTGCTTCCATTTTTCATTCACTACACTCCAGGAAACTGTGCACAAAATGACCCAAATGCTTTCCTTCCCTTTTCAAAACATTTAATGAAAGCCTAATAATTTACAAGGAACGCAAAAGCATTTTTAAATGGAACATTTGTAGGCCAGCTTGTCCCTTCAGTTTGCAGTATTTATTAACTGTTTCCTTTTTTCTTTGCTCAACTGGATCACGGCACACCGGCACACATTTTCTAAAGCTCAATGTGAAGGTAGGACTCAAAGACAAGAAGTCGACAGGTGGAAAAATATCTAGGTCATGTTACTAGGAGATTCCAGTGAGCAAAAGTTAGAATTCACTTGGTAATTTTTCCACCCTGTGCAAGTAAAGGATTGTAGGACAAAGGCACAAACCTAAGGCATCCCTGAATGTTACCATCTTTATTTAAAACATGCAAACATACATCTCATGATTGGAAAGAGTCAAGAGCCCACTATGCAAATCCTGCCTCAGTAAGAAGTCACATTACAGCTCAACCAACTGGGCGAGGATTACTCAAAATTACTTTGATAGTAGCAGTAGTACAACACAGAACT